TGCTGTTTGCTTCCTGTTGTCATCTAAAGTTTTGGGTGTGTGATTTCGGCGTTAAATGCCAAAAAAAGAAAACGCACTTTTTTGCAATTTTCGTTCGCAGATTTTCAGTTGCCAAATTTTTGGTGCATCCTTAGATGTGGTAGCAAAATGCTGCTACCACCTCAGGAGGAACAGAGTAATAAAGAGTCGACAGGAGGAAAGACTGAATAAATCTATAGGGCCAAAAAATGGAAGGTAAATTGTATAAAGGTGCAGTTGAAATTTCAACTAAGGAGGTTTTAGCATTGATGCAGGTAGGATACCTGCCACACTTATGAACAACAAAAAAATCTGTATCCTTATCTTGAACTTCAGAGTTGATGTTGGTTTATATATAGTAAAACGCCCATAAAACAGATTCAAGTCTGTGGTTGCAGATAAAGAAAATACATGCAGTTCAATGGGATCAATGCTTTTGCAATGTACTAAAACAGACAAACGGCGATGGTTCATACTCCAAGGTATTATTATTATTATTATATTTTTTTAGAATCATTACAAAAATTTGCTAGAAGAGTGATTTGGTAACGTATCTGACAGAAAGCCCACCTACCTTCCAGGAGACTGTGAGCGCTCTCTGGGTTTGGGGGGAGCTGGAGGCTTCAGATGTTCGACTGCTAATAAAAAATGTTTCTCAACAAATGTTCATGCATCTGAGTAAACTTGTTGTCCTGTTAGAGGAACTTACTGGCTGAAGAACTGCTTGCGTTGCAGGCTAGCCGAACCCGGGGAGTCGGGCGAGGTGGAGGGGTGGTCTCTGACAGCGTTCTGGGCGCCGGCACAGGTACACTGGCTTCAGCAGCGTTTTCATCAGAGCCAGAAGGAACATCCCTATTGGATGTTTCAAGAGTTTGTTTTTCTTCCACATTGCACTCCTCATCCTCCTCTTCATCACTCTCATCAAAAGGATTAGGTGGAGAGGAAGGACGTGATTCCTCCTTTTCTTCTTCATCCAAAGACTCTTCCTTATTGCTTGTAACAGTTGTGACAGAGTCATTAGCCGCTGTGTCACCATTAGTTGAGCGTACAGGGGAAGGAGTCTTTGTCTCATCCCTCTCAGAGAGGACGGGGTGAAGAGCTGCGCTGCGACCAGTCCTAGCAGACTGAACCTCCTCTGTTATTTTACTGAGATCCGGACGACCGTTCTGATTGGCTGAAGCGTGCTTTGAGAGATGGTGTGTACAAACCAACGCCCCAGAGTCATTTCCTCTGTAGGATCCAGGCAGGAGGGTGCTGCGACACTCTGTGCACCTGAAGAAAAAAAAAAAACTTGAAACATTTTCCAACAAAAGAAAAGAGCTGTCACTCAAGGAAATCATTAGAACATGTTTTTGCAATTTAGTGTGCTTGAAAGTAGTTTAATCCTGTTATATATGTACATATATCCCATAAAATGAATCCTAAAGAATATTTTAACTGTACAGGATATTTACACTGTAAAACAAAGAAGATATGCTTTTAATTGTTCAATTTGAAAATATATTAGTTCTAAGATGATGGGGATGGGAGGGAAACGTTTCTATAAGAGTATTTCAGAGGAACCATCTAGAGAGAATATATCTTCACCTAAACCTGCATTCAGGTTGGGTTTGATCACTCAAACTGACCCTGGTGTGCTCGAACAAAGCTCATGAGAAATTGCTTAATTCAAAGCAAATAAACAGATTTATTGACTTGATTCTTTATTTCAGGACAATAGATTTAGAATAGCATCCAAAAAACTATACTTAAAGCTAGAATCCATTGTTCTGATGCCCTGATACACCCTGGCTTAACCTGCTGCCTCCATGGAGGCACCACAGGTGCACCTGATCTAAAACAGACTAAAGAACAGCTTCTTTCCAATAATCATTGTTATATTTGTGTGCATATGTTGTGAATATCTCTATACTTATATTCCTTACAGTTTTTATAGTGAGAATAAATCAATTCCTTTCCAATCCTCACCTGAAACAGCTCCGATGGTAAAGCTTGCCATCGATGAGAAACCTCTGCACCAGATGAACGTGTTTCTGGCAAGCAGCACAGGAGCTGCTCAGAGTGCTGCTCTTGACCACAGTGACCTCCTCTGCACCAGTCTGTGCAGGCAGCACCAAATGGATGCAGCACGTTGTTTGCAGGAAGGGGGGGGACAGGGACGAGACATCAGGGGAAGGGACAAGATGGACAGCAATGAGGGAGGGGGGAGATCACACATGGAGTCAGGAATTGAGGATATGGATAATTCATTCTGAGTTATCTGGCTAAATCTAGAGCTCATTGATTCATATATGTGCAGCTTCCAAAAGCAGCAAAAAGAAAATGGTTAAAGTGAGTCTTAAAAAAGCAAACAAACAGGTTAATAATCAAATCGTGTTTTTTGGTGACTAAAAGTGTGATGTGCTTTACATTCTTGGGATTTTCCAAGTGTGTTATGTGTTATTTAAAGGGCTTAAAAGGCAACGCACTGCAAATCCTGACACACAAACTGTTAGAATAATACCATGGTTAGTCTTAAATATAAAAATAAGATGATTAGGAAAGACTGACCTAAAGGGTTTCCTTTACTTAACCCAACCCTACCCCCACACTACTGCCTAGGCTCAGGACCAGAGAGTGAAGGGAGCACCAGATGTGAGGATGAAGGACAGGAAGAGGAATGAATTTCCATCTACAGACATGAGGAGGAGGTGAGAGGGTCATGATGCCAGATTGGGACAGAGGAAAGAAGTAGGAGCCGTGCAAGAAAAAAGAAAGACAGGATACAGAGTCTATCTTTATAGGCTCATTCTATCACTAGGGTTCACCCCCACACAATGGCCACACAGTGAAGGGCAGCTATATAAACCCCAACGAAGATTAGTGTTTTGTTGCCAATTGATACCAAACAGTTCATGCAAAATCATGTTGATATATTAAAAAAAAAGAAAAAAAGAAGAATTTTACTTGCTAATACTTGTTGCTATCATGCAGTTGTAACATATGCTATTCATGAAGATCAAAAATCAAACAGAAAACAGCAAAGTGCTCAGATATGTGTTAACTTTAAATAGTTTTTTCCCCATGCCAGATCACACATACCTCAGCCTCATCCCCCTTGTCTTCCAAAAGAGTTGGTGGTTTTTTCTGGGCTGGTTCATTATGACTGACTGTACTAAGCCTCTTCATAGAAGGGGGGTTCGCTGTGGGGGAAAATACCAAAGCAGTCTGTATCAGGCTTCAGGACCACAGGTTAAAAAGCTCAGCCTCATGGCGGCAGGCTAAACCAACCTTGTGATTTGTTGTTAAAAAAGTTGTAATACTGGGACACATATGTGATAACGCTCAGTCGGTCGGGGACTTTCATGGACACCATGTCTTCTGCGTCCAGCAAGGCTGGAATTCCCAGCTCGGTCTCTGCCACCTCAAAGGCCTGCAGGAAAAACAATGACAGGAATGACAAAGACAGAAAATGAGCTGATCACCGGTCAGGTCAACAGATGCCTACACCATGAAACTGGTTATACACAATGAGGCTATTATTTGCTCATTTAGCTAAGCTTTATAATACAGATGTTATATGACATTATCAAATGCATTTTTCCATCGATGATACAAACAGAGGATTTGCATGCAGAATTTAAAAAAAAGTTTATTCTTAAGCTTATTTTGACAGGTTTTTATTCATTTGTTTGCTTCAAGGTTGATTTATTTTTTATTTTTTTCATTTAATCATTTCAGGAGATATTATTTGTGGCAATTATATTTCATAAAGATACTTTAGGAATTAAAAGGACAATTTTTTTAACCCAAATTTTGTTTGAGCCTATTTATTTCAACATATTTTTTTTTCTGTTATAATAGTCAGACATTTCTCTTTGAGGCAGCTTAATCTGGTCTGAGCTTTATCTTGATGGACAGATGTACCATGACCATAAATAACTGGGAAGCAATGGGTTCACTGGGCTTATGCTTTGAGCACAGGATAACTGCAGCAGTCCTGTTGAACTTTGGGGAAAAACAAACTAACATATTGAAAATTCAAAGGTGTATTAGAAGCTGCTGTGCTGACAGGGATTTATGCAAACTGCATTTTATTTTTACATGCGTTTTCTTTTGTTTTCTAATTGAAATACATTTTATTTTTTGAAATACGTGTGACAAAAATGTAAAAGAATTAGAAATCAGAAAGACTTTTTACACTGTACATTATGAGCTTAATAATGAAAGAGTCATGTCAAAACAGGGAGTAAACATGCCAACATTAGTCCTCATCATTAAACCATCATCAGCAGGAGGAAGATGAATCCCTTGACAACTGTTGCCCTTTCTGTTCAGTTATTTATAGCTTTATATACAAGTGGTAAAAATCATGTCTGGTTATTCCTTTGTTGGGCCGGCACACTGCAAAACAATGAAATCTATATAAGCAACTTTTTTAATAATATTTTATATTTTGTATTCTTGAATTGAGGACATGAGACACTGCCAGTGGAACAGGACAATTTACATTCAAAATAAGAAAAGACAATTGCATTGTCTTATTTCAAGTGCATACTATCTAATTATCTTATTTTAAGAGTAATAATACCCGTTCCATTGGATAATAATCTTTGTCTATGTCTAGATCGTTTTTGCAGTGCACATTGAAGCTGTTCTGCTAAAACCCCTGCAATAATTAAAAATTCTACTTTAATAAGTTTAGATCTAAAAAAATTTGATTTGCATCCATAGAGTGAACAAAAATAAGGTTGAATGGGACTTTTCAACTCAAGCTTAAATAAAACTTTAGCAACAATTTCTGTAAAAGCAGAAATACAGGCCACATCCAGTCTCCAGCTAGGGTGTACAGGCTCTCCTTTAGTTACCTCATTTATAAACGGTTCAAAAGATGATGAAAGTTGTGCAGATTTGGGATTAAACATGATCCACTCTCACAACTGCTCAACAGTCTAATGTGAGGAATGTGCTTTTCCCTAACCTTGAATGCACCACCTGTCTTCCTCTCCCCCTGAGCTCAAACTCCACCAGGATAAAGTAACATACTTGTGCATGAGCTGTTAAATAAACCAAAGCCATGCAAACCATGACTGCATGGACCCAGAAAAACAGGCAGATAAAAGACCCGACACCCAACAGCTAGCTAGCTAGAACACGCTAATGGATGTTCTTCATCCAACAGCAAGTCGTTTCACAAGAAGGAGAGCTTCAAGGACTCACCAGACGGTTGTTCTCGTAGATGTTTTCTTTTGACAGTGAATCAAAGTCTCTGAAAGAAAGAAAAACACAAATTATCATGTAGCTCCTGTAATTATAGACCCTCAGTTCACCTTTTAAATCGTACAAGCCATGTCCCAACATGGCTCCTTTGGAATTACTATTAAATTGTTTGGGTTGTGTTGGTTCAAACTGTGTAATATTGTTTATTTTGCAAAGATATTTTAATACTAATTTAACAGCTGCTATTCTGTTCTTCTATTTGGTGGTTTTATTCTGTGAATTAGTAAAAGAAAAGATCAGATTGATTGCTGCTGCCATTTTTCCACCCCTCCAGACTTATAACTGGATGCATTAAAGGAAAACAGATGTGGGACACAAAATTAAAGGTATCCCATGAAAAAAACATTTTTGAAGATCCTCCCTAAATAGTACAGTACTGTATTTAGCCAGCTGATAGTCTTACTCATCATCTTTCTATTAATAGCAGGGCAGCTTGATGTACAGTAATGGTGAGCTGATCTGCCTCACACCCACCACAGCTGAGAATATCCACTCTTTACATAAATGCCATATGAGGCCAATAAACTGCCAGAACAAAAGGAGAGAAACAGCAGCAACAAACTAGCATGGGGCTGGTAATTACAAGGCTGAGCTCTGAAGTGCTTGGAGCACACATGCACAGCCAGACTCCTGCAAGCAAACTTCCTGCAGTAAAACTGGAAAACATCTGAACAGCTCTGGGATAACTGCTCATGTGTCTGGATGTAAACGTGTACTGAAGCATGAGAAGAAAAAAAAAAATCCCTAACCTAGGTGAAAGCTTGTGGTTCTTTCAAGAAGGCAAAAATTCCTCTAAATGACCTTAGTGTTGGAGGCTCACAAAGTGACCTCTGTTCTCTCTAATCTAGTTTCCAAGACTGCAAACACGCAGCAGCTCTAATATCTAGACTGTTCGAAAGTCCTCCAACATGGCAGAAGGTAAAGAGCAGAGTAACGCTCCCTGAAGCAGTTGGTACATGTTTTATCTAGATCCACGTCCACCAGGCCTAGGTGACAAAGACATGTATGACGAGGCAAGGCGTGCAACTGGAATTGCAATCCTAATCCTCTGTGACTCGGCCTCACTCTGGGTTTATTTTGGGATTGAGTAATGCTGAGGAACAGTGAGTCTCTGTGTGTTGGTCGTTTAAAATCCTCATGATGAAGAGTTGGCTATGTTGGTACATCTGGGAAATTTATCTCAGCCAGACACAAAATATTTAGACACAAAATAAACTTTATGGAGTTAATGGGCTACTTCAGTGACATCCCCTAGCTAAAAATTTAGTAAATTACAAAAATGCAATTGCTTGTCTTTGTTTTTACAATAAACCAAAGACAAGAGAATTCATACAGTTAAGACAACTGATATTACATGTATTTAATTCAAATTCAACACACCCTTAACATAATTCTTTACACGTGGAGAAAATAGTCCAAAAATATTAGAGATCATTGCCAATTGCAATGAGGGAAAACGACCCTGAGTGCACCGGGGGGTCCAGCAGGAGACATGGATCACAGGTTTAAACCTAAGGATAAAGTTGCTTACACAACATGGAAGTTGCAGAAGGAGGAAGCTATAAGTGACGACCATCAGATTCCTGAAGAGGCAGCTGGTCAGAAACCAACAACTGACTGCATAAGACGCGCAACAGGACTTTGTGGCAGGAGCCACAGGGCTCCAGTTTCTACAGTAAGGGACATAATCTATAAGTGTCCTTTCTGAAAACAGCTTGGTGTTCTGGATGTTTTGGAACAGTGGTTCTCAATCCAGGTTGTCAAGTACCACTGTATGTTTTAGATTTCCCTCTGCTGCAGTACACCTGCCTCAAATGATTTCACAAACTCCTCACCAGCTATCAAGGTCTTTGACTGTAGAAGCCTATTAATCATTCCTTCACATAAGTCAAGCATGTAGCAAAAAGGAGGTGCCTAAAACTCGCAGGAAAGTGGTAGTTGAGCACCTCTGTTTCAGATGATCAAATGAAGTATGTATAACCCGAGCTCTGCCTTACTGAAGAGGTAATTCAGCAATTAATCCAGCAGCGTTGGAGCAGCATCCAAATATGCAGGGTGGTCAAGCAGCAGAGAGAAAAATTCAATGATAACTCTGGAGGAGCTGCAAAGACCCACAGCTCATTTAAGGGGGACACCTGTCAGTCGTGTACTCCACAAATCTGTTGTTAATGAAATAAAGGATGTAGGAAAGGCATGGAGGATAGGAGGATACTCTGGTCAGACGAGGAAAAAAAAATCCCCTAAAAGGTTTCAGTGAGCTGCATTAAAAATGCTTGTGCAGCAGGAAAACAGACACCGCATTTTCCAACGCCGATTTAAGCATCTCAGTCACCGAGACATGTACATCATGAGTGGATATGAAGGACAACAAAGGTACAACCAAAGCCAAATGTTTTTAAGTCGCTAAAGATTTTAATGAGTGGCATTACAGCTTCCAACTACCAAATATCTGCTCGTTATTAGAGACTGGTTGTGCATAGTAATGACTCAGAGCGCTGAATGCAATGCTAGCCTCACTTGGCAAACCCGTACAACCTGTATATACAAAGCTGGGAAACCATCCACCACGTCTCCTACATGGTCTCTCCCAAAAAATACCACTTAAAACTCTCAACTTTGCGGTTGTAGAAGACAAAGTGTGGAAAAATGTGTTACTCATACCAGTGCAGGAGATGAGGTAGCTTAGACTAAGAGGTCTGGCTGTAATCTAACTACCGGTACTCCTCTTGCAGTGGTAGCTGCTGACATTGGCCACAGGAATTATGATGACACCTCTGCTTCGCATCACTGCGACTTGGATGAAATTGGCTGGCTGGAGCATTCAGTACAGGGCAACAATGGCCTGAATCCACATTAATGACAAATCCAGTCTGACAGGCAACATTTCAGACTAGCAGGGCTGTCTGCCTGGATCAGTGCAAGTCCTGTTGATAATTTGCTGAGATTTAGAAAGTTAAACAGTGGGACATTCAGGGACTCACAAAAGAAATATTTAGGGTTCCTGATTTAATGTTCTTTAGGCTCTTCAGATGGGCTCCTCATGCCGTCATACCCCATTCCACTGGCTTAGCAGGGATTTAAAAAACACAATATTTACTGTTCTGCATTCAGACAGATTTCTGTTTGCACTCAGAAACAAGCAAGATGTTAACAATCTTCAAATCAGCCCAGCAGATGCTTATTTCTTTGTCCCAGAGTGCCAGGGGAAGGACACAAATGCATGATTTACAGAAGGCGTGTGTACAATTCCAGCCACAACAATAGAAGCTGTTGACTTGCTCAAACAGGAAATCCTAAGCACAGGCGCTACCAACAGAGCAGCATTATGCTACCCAGAAAGGGCATCTAAAGGGGGTCGTATGCAGTGCAGATTATCCGTGAATGGATACTGTCAAAGTGTGAAGGGAGGGATTGTTTCAACAAGGGCCGAAAGATACTGCAAGAGAAACAGAAATCACAATGTTTACATTTTCTGCAGCAAAACAACAATAAAATATGACATCAAGAGATTAAGAATAAATCTGAGATTAAAGGAATTATTTAGCGGCGTAAAACTACATTTACTGTAAAGCTAAAAATCTGACTCACTCTTTAAAAAGAAAACACTCTAATCTGCAACTTAAAGAGAAGGGAGACGGAGACGTGTCTACACCGTTTTGATGTGAAATAACTGCTGGTAGTGAAAGAGTTTCTGTTTTAGTTTAAATCTATTTTTAAATGTGTTCACACAAAACCATTGTTACGCTTCTTTAGCTAAAAATATATAAACCATCATGCATTTCTAATTTCTACAGCTCCATCCGTATTTTCACCTGTTCTCAATAATCTAAACAAGCAAAGCCTGCTTTGCAGAACGATGTGTTTCCATTAGATAGCATCATGTGACATGCAATGTGATGTGAGCATGCAAATGCTGGAATGTTGATGCAACTGTAATCTGTGCAGAGTGAAGGCTGATGTTATACTGTACCTGAAGCAAGAACTAATAATTATTCCAAACTGAAAACATCAGCTGAATGTTTTTTAAGGGAATCTTAAAAAACACCTTTAAAATTTAGAATGATAATCAACTTTGATGGCCAACTTGTTTTACATAAACAAGGAATTTTAATTCGGTTTTCCGTCACTGACATCTTAATCACCAGTTTGAACAACAGCAAGAGTAGAAGGAATGCCTAAAGGGACAAAAAGGAAAAGATAAGACAAGAATAAAAGAAGCATCAACAAGTGTCCGTTTGTAGTTAATCTGTTCTTATAAAGAAGGAAGGCAAGTAGTAATAGTAAGGGATACGCAGGTTGTGACAGTTATGCTTTTGGTGCTAAAATTGGATAAAGTTGATCATGATCTGTAGGTTAAAAAAAGAAATTTTCGCCCTATTCATGATATGCAAAATTAAGAAAACCTCCACCAGCAGCATAAACTTTCCTCCCTCTTACGAGTTAACTCAAAATCAGAAACCAGTTTCCAAATAAGTAAGGTGCTATTCCTTTATGCTTTGTTGGATTACAAACATGGAACTGCTGGAAAATGTGTATTTTTTAGTTCAGTTTAACTGATCAAAATAATCTTAATCTAAGTGAACCTAAAATACACTCAATTACCAAAAGCATTCACTTATGCATCCAAATCATGGTAATCTGATGTTCCCACCACTTCCATGAAAGTTTCTACAAACTCATGAAAGAATGCATCACTCTCAGTGGATCAGCGTTTTCCAGCATTGCATCGTGTTAAAATTCCACCTGAGCATATGGTCTAGTTGTAAACTGAAGGAGTGGGGAAAGAGGATGCTGAGCAAATGGTGTGCAGAGGTCACCAACTTCCTGCAGAGGCAACTATCATAGACCTTCAAACTACAACTCTACAGATTAGCTCAAGAACAACGTGAAGAAAGCCTTCATAAATGTGAGGGGGGGGGGGGGGGGGGGGGGGGGGGGGGGGGGGGGGGGGGGGTTGGTTGCGCTGTGGGGTCATTTTTTCGGAATCTGGGCTTGGACCATTAGTTCTCATTCTCCCTCTAACATAACTGGATCCATTTAAAGAACAGTCCTTACAGACGTGGAAGAAAGAGGTTTGAGTTGAGCTCGACTAGACTGCACAACAGGACATTTGGGATGAATAGTGTGGCAACTGAGAGCCAGGCCTTTTAGTGCAACATCTGCCTATGAACTCACAAATGTGTGGCAAAGAATGGGCAGTATTTTCCCATGAACAAGCTCCTAAACATTATGGACAGCCTTCCTAGAACAGCTGAAGCCATCATGGCAGTAAATGAAGGGTCTGAACATATGGATTATGAACGGAATGTCACTTAGGTTCATATGCGAGTCAAGGCAGGTGAGTGAATTCATTTATCATATAGTGTAGGAAACTAATTTGATCCACAGACATAAGAACATGCCTGAGTCCTTCAACCTATAACTGAAAAGTCAATGAAATATTCATCTAATTCAACTAATAGGTAACTCCACAGTCACCATAGTCTGGTCCAGGACAGGATGCTACAAAGTACATTAGTTGGGAATCTGTTAGTTGATTCTCACCCTATCTTTATTATTAAATCATGATCAGAAAAGGACTTATTTAATGATAAGGAGCTGCACACAGACAAGTGAAAGTACAGTAACATTATTAAATGCTGAGATACATAGCGTGGAATAAACAAATGTAAGTTGCTGAGAAATATTAAAAGAGTAGAGAAAAACTTTTTGCAGAGAAAAACAACAATATGTGATGAAATTAAAGTGCGGAGATATTTGCATCATTTGAAACTGAGCCCTTTGATTTGAATACTTCTTCACTGTTGGGCATAAAGCTGACTTCTTTGTCTTGTACATTTTGTATATTACTTCTAGATGACTACTATATTCAACTGCTGCTGCATAAAGAAATTGCATTGTGAGAAAATGTCCTGCTGTTGACCTCACCCGAACCAAAATCAAGTCATTCTAAACCCTCTTCCCTATAAAAATCCACCTAAATCACACAGAGATTGCGTTCTGTGGTATTCTGTGTGCTCTCTGTGTTAGAGCAAAAAGGTCAACGTCTCACTAAAGCTCTATCAATCACACAGAACAGTTACGGATTATACAATGATTAAACATTGGTCAAATGTACAAGATTATGACATGATTTATTAGAATAATATTAAAATAAGATATATAATGAATTACGGCACTAATTGTAGTAGTTCTCAAACTTCTAACAAACAGACTGATTTAAGCAATTATCTTTGAAACCAATTAAAACCCCGATACTAGTGTAAAAATATGGCCAGAGGCTCCCTGATCAGGATTTTCCTGGGAGATTTCCTACCATCTGATCTTTCTTTCTAAGGAATGACAGACACTAAATGTACTGTAAGTTTCCTGACAAGCTTAACATAAAAAGGGCAAACTAGGTTATATTTATGCATCAAAGCATCATCTCATTCTTTTAAAAAAGCCAAAAAAGTGTACACAATTACATGGTATTACCTGATTATTTCACAGACCCCAGATCATGCCATTTGGTGACTCTCAACCCATTCACTGAATATAAAAAATTTTCCCCATCCATGGCCATTTAATGAAGGAATACAGACACAATTTCAAGTGAAGGAAATTCCTGTTCTTGCTATTTTGACTGAAACAAATACAAGTCCTCACAGGCAGGGAGGAGTTGTTCCCTATGATAGACCACCAAAACACAACAGCTGATGCTGTGGTATCTTGTGTGGGGTTGAAAGGTGGAAAGGAGCAGTCATTATCACAGACACGCAGCAAGGCTTGTCCCACACTGTTAAACATTTCATCAGGGGGACTGCAACAAATCATGCTTCTAGATGCAAACCAATTGAAGATTAAATTGTTCCACACAGTTGGTTTCAGTTCATAAAGATGCTTTTTCTCATTTAATGTGGACATAAAAGGGACAAATGCAACACTAACCAGCCACTTCTTTTAACCAGATGGTATTATGCACTAATTCTGACTGGTGTATATTATAAATAGGATCTATCTGTCATGTATTTATGGGAATCTCTGGGAGTTTTTAACCTTTGGAGTAACTTGATTAAATATTTCTGTATGTTGATTCCTCTTAATGGAAGTCTACATGATTCAACTCAAGAGTTTAAACTTATTTTGAATTTTTGAAAGACCTATTTACAGTTTTAGAACCAACAGCTGTTTTATATATTTTTACCAAAAGGTTTAAAACACTATAAACTGTTAAATCAAAAAGTACATGGTGAAGTTTGATGTGACTTACATCAGTTCTGGTCTGTGGCGATGGATGATGGCACAAAACGCCAAACCGTCCCGAAAGGACGAAGACATGTCCCTGATTTCCACATTGCTGTAGTTTTCACATTGTATCCGACACCACTCCTGGAGAGCCTTCAGAGATCCCATCCTGTTACTGTCCAGGACTCATGCGCATCTGTATTCAAACCAAATGAAAATCGATGTCTTTTAGTCTCAAACGGCGTCAGGAGACAGGAAACCACCGCAGCGGCAGGAGGAGGAGCAGCGTGCTGCTGCAGAGGGTCGATCAACAGACAGCCAACCAGGCAGGCAACACCCGAACACAGACGAGAAAAGGCGGTGCATTCATCCACGTCCACCGTGTCACGTTAGAAACATGGCTCACAGTCGTAAAAGAAGTTAGCTAACTATTGCAAGTACAAAGAAAAAAATAAATTAATTAAAAAATCCTTAGGTTCATTTCCTGTCTGAAACTATCAAGACACTAACAGCCATACGGTTACATGTAACCTCGAGTCTGTTGCTATAACGCCACCAAGTGATATTTAGAGCTGATAGAGGCACCTAAAAACAATTCTGAAATGCCATTTATCTCATAGCCGTATTTTCCAACGGCTATGAGATGATAGTTTTCTCCTTGACGAAGACCACACCGCGGTTTTAACCACCGAGACTTTACCTTCAAACTCTCCTGAAAATCTTAAGTTTAAAAATAGAAATATATATATATATATATTTAAAAAAAAACTCTGCATGTGATATAACTCAAAAATAGCTAGCTTCTGTTTTGTTTATCTAAAATTTCCGTCGGCACACCTGCAACGTTTCTTCTTCTTTTAACTCATAATTGTTGTTCCTCCTTTTGGCCATCTGGGGGAGTTGCACGACAAAAGACGCAAAACGTTACGTCAGCGAGTCTGCCATTTTATGAGTTCTTTATGTTTCTTTTGCCTACATCATACAAAATGAAACATAAACGGATACCACTGCTGTTACAGGTAATAATAACAAAAAAATAATATTAAATAAATGAGAGTATACAAATAAATTAAATTAGATAGATAGATAGATAGATAGATAGATAGATAGATAGATAGATAGATAGATAGATAGATAGATAGATAGATAGATAGATAGATAGATAGATAGATAGATAGATAGACAGATAGATGGGTGTTGTAGGCTAATTGGTAATTTCCCCTAAAACTATTCTCAAATACTTCTTTTTTCAGCTTTGCTACCCCTTAAAAATAAACCATGACTCCTTCTTTATAATGAACCATATCCTTCTTATTAAGCCCTATATCGATAAATACAAGTCAAATAATATTTGACTTTATTATCCATCTATTTATGAGAGACAATTTAATATCGTTTAATTTTTTTTTTGTTTGTTTGTTATTTTTTTTCTTTTTTGTGTGACGTTCTTTTTGGATAAAATTTGAAAATATTGGATAAAATAATTAAAACAAAAATAAAAAGGAAAGCTATCCCCGCCCCAGCAACGTTACAGAAGTCTCGCGATAGTAGGCAGACGTTAGTAATCTGGTAAAGATGGCGGCGGCCCCCCCCGATGAGACCAGCCTCCAGTCTCTAATCAGTAAGTCATCATATTTCACTCAAACTACTCAAGTTTAACAGAGCCGATACGCTAACTTAAAGTGATACTCATGTTAAAACTGGTTTTATTTTTGGTTGTCACTGACAGCCTCCTCTATGAGCTAAAATGAGTTGTTGTTCCTGTCAAAATCATCAAAATAGCAAAGTGCCTTTGGTGACAGGAAGGAAAAACAGCCAGAAACTGTAATACTTTAAACTGGACACTGAGTTATCTTTATCCCATTTTCAGGAAATGTAAATACCCTGTACGCGTCCAGTTGATGCTAACTAGATCCAGAAGCTAACTTCCCAAACGACTAGTTTAACTACAGGAACCTCTGCCACCAGCAAGTTTCCTGATTTCACAATCTTCAAAAAGAAAAACAAAAAAACAAACAAAAACATTAGCTCATGTTTGGCGCTCTAAAAACATAACATATTTTGATGAAACGGTCAGGAACGTTTGTTTTCTTTCATGCTGATCCAGCATTTTTTATTTAATGTGTTTTTTTTTTACACCCAGATAATGCTACCAATCCTCTGAATAAGGAAACTGACTGGGACAACATTAAGGGATTCTGTGATAAACTCGACAGTGAACCTGATGGGTAAGATATTGAATGAAAATAATGGATGTAGTCCTGCACTTCTTTCTTCTCTTTAAGAGATTTTTTTATTATTTCTGTTCTTTCTGTCTGTTAAATGTTTATTAGATTCATTAAAAGAAAACTGCAAAAAAAAAAAAATAATAAAAAAAAATGTAAAAGACTAAGACGAGCCTACTAAAACCTATTAACTAGCTTTGCCACCCATTGTTGCTATTAGTAATTACTGTTTCCATTATAGGCAACATCTCCTTGAAATTAATGTGAAAACATGTTGTCCCTATCCTATTTGAAGTAATGTTTTAATTCACCATTAAATAACAGTTTATTTAATAATACACTGTTTTATACACAGCATCCACTTTAAGGTGGGCTTTGGCTCATTAGTTCTGACTCCTGCTATACAGGTGTGCCTCAGTTTAATGTCGTAAACATTTTCCTTCATGGTTCTCTGGAAGTGAACCGAATCCAGGTCAATTGACAAAATAATTCTGGCCCCGAAGAAACAGAACAGTCCCAGACTACTTGCCCTCTTTGACTGCAGGTGTCATGTTCTTTTTCTAAAATGTTCCTGCTGGTTTTACAAAAATAAATAAATAAATGAAATTACACACTCCTACCAAAAAGTTAAACTATTGTTTTACTAAGTAATTTTTTGGGGGAAATAGGTGATGGGTCCCCATGTTCATTTTTTTCTCAGCAGATATTTTTGGCCTTGGGACTCTCCTATTCCTGCCCAGCCTCTTTCTTATTGATGAATCATGAACACGGCATGGTGGCATAGGGGGGTTTGTAGTGCTGGATGTTGTTCCCTGTTCTTTGTGACATCTTGGATGAGTGCATTCTTAGGCATACTATTTAATAACCCAGTAAATCATGTGAAGGTTATTCATTTTTTAGTGTTTTATTTATCTGTGTGTTTTGGCTCTCTGCAGGTATCTGGAGTCCCAAAGTTTAAAAAATGTCTTTATGAAGTATTTTAGGCAGCAGTTTGATGTCAGACAGATTGTTCACTCCAGTTTATTCTTACTTAAAAAACTGGATGTACTGTACCACTCTGCCTTACGTTTTATCACAGGTGCATCAGCTAGGACTCACCACTGCACTCTCTATGAAACTGTACAGTGGTCTTCTCTTTACATGAGGAGAAAAATTCATGTACTGACTTTTATTGCCAAAGCCCTTATGGGTAAACTACCTTTATACATTTGTAATTTACTTTCCATTCGAGATAGTACTTACAGGACTAGGTCATCAGAAAAAATACTTTTACATACTCCATTTACAAGAACTGAACTAGGAAAAACAGCATTTTCATCATTTGCACCTAAAGCATGGAATGAACTTCAAGCCACTTTAAATCTTGAAGTACTTCCATCCATAAATTCTTTTAAAGACCTGTTAAAATCATCATTCACTGACAGATGCAACTGTTTTTGATTGGATGCCTTGTTTGCTATTTGCTTTTTGGTTGTATGTGTATGCCCAATCTTGTTGTGTTGTGTTTACTTTTGCCTAGATGATATGTAGCTGTGGTTGTCTTGTCTCCTGTGGTTTTATGTTAATGTAACTTTTTAAGCCGCCTTCTTGGCCAGGACTCCCTGGAAGAAGAGTTACTTTAACTCAATGGGACTTTCCTGGTTAAATAAAGGTTAAATAAAAATAAAAATTGTATCGAACACTAATTATTTTTTATTGTAAGGGTCAGGCCTTGATGGCAACAGGTTCCTGGTTTAATTAAATCCCAAAACAGCAGCTTATTATTTAGGATTAAATGTGTGAGACAATTATGTATCCACATATGGCCCGGTTATTGTGGATATTCTTCTATTGAGGAAAATCCTCATTGGATAGTGGACATTTTCCTTTGTCTGCATTCCGCTTTAAACAGACTAGAATTTCCTTCCCCCTTTGATCTGGACCTTTTTTACAACGGGGAATACTTTTAAGTAATCTTTGATCCAGACTAAGACCTGCTTTTCAAGGTCGTCTCAGGCGGCTTGCAAACGGATTCTGGTACTCAGTTCTGTTTAGAATGGAAACTGGGCTAGGTTTAAACTAACTACAGAGACCATACTTCTCTTTGGACTTAGTAAGCCTCCGTTATGAGGAACATAGCGTCAAAATGACACCTGACCTATCGGGTTGCTTGGCAACACTGCTGCCAGCACGTGGATCTCTTTGCTCTGTCTGCTGTTGTCATTTTTGTCCAGTAGGAACAACTATGGCACTTGTGGCTTTTTTTAATGAGTTTTAGTCTTTGTACTTGTATAAAGAACAGTGAGAATATAAATCACTATCACCTAATGAAGAAACAGCTTTTGGTCCTAATCAAACAGGCAGACCAAAAGTTTCAATACACCACCCTTATTTTAAAATTTGTTGACTGCAAGCCCAATTTCTCTTACAGCTTTTCAGTTTTTGGCTAAAAGAAAAAATAGCACAAAACGTCTGGCTGTTTGGAAGCTAAATGTAACCCTTCTCACTTTACATTAAATAATTTTTTGATTAAAAGAAAGTAGTCGTATTGTTCAAGTCTCTTTTGGTTAAACTATTTTTTTCTTATGGTATTGCATGTCTTTGCGGTGATTACATAACTAAAATGTGTTTTTGTTTGTTTTTTTTTTTTATTGAAAAAAACTTTTTTCCATTTTAGATTTAAGGAGCAGCATCAATGTTTTATATCACATAAGATTTTGCTCCTACAAATATCATTTTTATTATTATCAGGCCTCAGCTTGCAACCAGACTTCTGGCCCACAAAATCCAGTCTCCTCAAGAATGGGAGGCGATGCAGGCACTACTGGTAAGAGATTAATTAACCAGAACCACTGTCTTGTAGTAAAATTGTCTTTAATTAAAAATATTGAAAAACAAATGTTTGTGTGTATAAAATAAAAAGAGAGAGAGAGAGGGGATATTGTGATAAAAAAAAAACTCCAAATGTTGATCATTTCCCAGGTTCTTGAGACATGTATGAAGAACTGTGGAAACAGGTTTCATGGTGAGGTGGGAAAGTTTCGCTTTCTTAATGAGCTCATCAAGGTGGTCTCACCTAAGGTAAAACATTTCTCTCTTGTCACACTAGTTCTGTAGCAACTTAATACGCATGTTATTGTTTCCTTTCTTTTTAAGCTGAAATGGAAAAAAATGGACGATTTAGTCATCCAATATCCTGTAGATCAGACCTTTAATACATGCAGCTTCTATGATTTTTTTTTTTTAAGACATCCAGCTAAAAACAATATTTACCATCTCCGGTCTAAATTCTTCTGGATTTATAAACCACAGAAAGCCAACAGCTCTTTGTTTTCGTAACAGGGTTCCATTAGGGCTGCAACTAACGATTATTTTGCAAATTGATAAATCTGTTGATTATTTTTTCAATTATTCGGGATAGCGAAAGGTTCCTTAAAGAGGACTGTTTATGAAATTAAACCAGGTAATAAAATCAAACTTTTCCACTTGAGGAGTTCTGGATAGAGCATACTGACAGAGATTTTTATTTATTTTTTTTAATCAGCTACAGGCATGTCTTAGAGTCTCTATACTCTAGTTTATTATTAATCGATTACTAAATTAGTTGATAATTATTTCAATTATCAATTAATCCCATTAATTGTTTCAGCTCTAGCTCCCATACAGTCATCTCTGAAGCTGAAGCTCAGAGGTGACGGGCTTTTATTGTGGAACAGGTTACAGCTGCATGTTAAGCAGGCGCCTTCGCTGGCTTTTTAAAATCATTTTTAAAGACTTCCCTTTTAAATCAAATCGAGTTGTTTATTTTTGCCCTGAGAATCAGCTGTGTACCTTGTTTTTATCTGTTATTAATTTTATTGTTTTTATTGTTTATGACTTATATCTACTGCACTTTGGTCAACAATCTGTTTTTAAACGTGCTTTATTGATAAATTGATTGGATTGATGTAAGAACATTAAAACACAACACTAATTGGGTGAGCAGATTTATTCTTAGTTAAAGGTACACTATGCAACCGGTGTTGATTTTCCAGCGAGGCTCCCCCCAGAGGGCGAAAGTAAAAGTGCACTGTCATAAATATGCACAGCTGTTCTCCTGGTTTCTCCGTCAAGTCAGGCGCGGTTGTTTTGAGCTTAGCAGACAGGCGAACGCAATGAATGACTAATGCTGCGTTCACACTGGACGCAGCTGGCGTGACAGAAGCAGCGAGTTTACATGCAAAGTCAATGGTTGACGCGCGTCAAGGTGCAGCAAAAGGTCCCGCGGCGCGTTTTGAGCAGCAGGCGCAGCGCGTCTGAGCAGCTGAAGCAGTGCGTCGGGCGCGTTTAATCATCTGACGCAGGATGAGAGACACAGCGCTGATGATCACTCCTCTTAAACAGTTTATTGACGCCTAAATTAACTTAAAATGCAGAAATCTGCCGGCAGAATATGCAGTTTGGATTATTTAGATGAAAAACACCTACCAGCTGCCGTGGTGAACTGCGAGGAGGCGACCCGGCCAGAGGCTGCTGATGAAGGGATTCCTACTGTCGGCGCACCGCTGGTATGTGGGGGTCTGAGCGGCTCTGACAGAAAAAATATTAAAGGCAGGATAATAATCTGAATGAACTGACTGCACTGATTACGTTTTCAGGTGTATTTTCTCACTTAAACACATATTAAAACTACTTTATTCCCACTGATCACAGCAAATATAGCTGCAAGGCAGTGAAAGGATAGTGAAGCTCCGCCCAAAGCGCGTCAGACACACTTTTGCACCACGCAGCCAGAGCAGCAAAGCTGCTTCAGCCGCGCGTCAGAACTAACTGGTACAAGCAGCAAAAATGAAGCAGCAGACGCGATTTTGCTGCGCCCGATGTGAACGTAGCATAACTGCACAAAGATCGCCACTGTGCTAGCAACGAGAATGCTTTTAACTGGGGGGCGTGTAGCAGTTCTCGCCGTAAAGCAAGACTGACTCTCGCGAGACTTCTGAGCCTGTGGGTGCGGGTCTGTGCTCCTGCAATTGCAAGTGCGGTATTTCCCCCACAGACCACCAGGGCGGCCGAGAATACCTTTGTTCAACCTGAAATGAATCATTTAATCATCCATAACGTTATGGTACACATTAATTAACTGAAAAATGTTGCATAGTGTGCCTTTAAATTGCTTTTAAGGCACAGACACATTATAGCTGGTGCTCATGATTAGGTGATTGTTAAAGACCACATTTCAGGTGAAATAATATTTTTTGTTACTCTTAACAAAAATGATTTTATGTTTCTGTATGAGATTATATCCCTTTTTTTTTTTTTTTTTTTTTTTTATGTGAATGTACGCTGGGTTTCTCAATATATCCAATTAACCAGAATCTCTAGATACAGAAAAAGAAACCAGAGCATAAATAAGATATTTGGATATTAAAGATCAATGAGAAAGACTTTGCTAAAATGAATATATGCACTGCACTCGTGTAAAAGCATCATCGCGTCGTCCCATTTTCATACAGGGATGTTTTTCATCTGCTCTGATTTCCTTATAGTTTTGATGCATGTTTTTTTTCTCTATTTTTATGTTCTATTTATCTTTGAGTCAAGTTCCCTGAAAAAAATCGTTATGGGTCCATATTGACATAAAATATTAGTGAACTTGATGAAGTATGTCAAAAAGTATGGATGTTAAATATGTGCAGGAACTTTAAATTCTGCATCATATTATAAAAGAACCCCTCAGTATTTATGAACCTTCCTCCCTTTAGTATTTAGGAACCCGGGCTCCAGAGCCGGTGAAGGCAAAGGTTTTAGAGATGATATACAGCTGGACTGTGTGGCATCCAGATGAGGCAAAGATAGCTGAAGCTTATCAGATGCTGAAAAAACAGGGTGAGTTTTTTTTTTTATCCATCAAGAAATTTAATTTTTTGAGATGGTATTTATTTTATGTCGACAGATTCTTCCTTATATTTGTGGTGCTTTTCTCCATCAATAACCAAATAGTTACTGATGGAAGTTGTTGGCTCCCTTTCTGAGGTGATAGTGACGTGTTTGGTTTTTCCATATTTGGTTCTCTCCGGCATGTAGGAAGATGGAATCAGTTCTGCTTTTAGCACAGTCACGAGCCTAATGCTTTAGATCATATGGAGCTGAGAGTGGTGTGGTGGACTTCCCACTTAAAACTTAAGTCCCACATCACTCAGTGTCTATGAATATGAAATCACACTTAACACGTCTTTAAATCATTTATCACTTAAGAGGTGGGAAATGTTTTATCTGTATTAGTTATGTATTTAAAGCTTAATCGATGCTCCTGTCATTTCCAGGCATTGTAAAGCAAGATCCTGTGCTTCCTGGTGACAAGCCACTCCCACCGCCTCCACCCAGAGCCAAAAGTGCCATCTTTGAGGATGAGGAGAAATCCAAGGTGTGTAATGAGAGATCAAGTGTCACTAGGTGTCATCATGAAGAAGAACATTGATTTATAGATTTTCTCAAGGGAACAAAAAACAAAATTCCATCAGGTCATGTGAAATTGAACTCCTGGGGAGTCAGTGTTTACTCATTCCTCGTTTTTTTTTTTTCTCCTCCTCTGTGTCCTCCTGTTATTATAGACGCTGTCCCGTCTGTTAAAGAGCACCCACCCTGATGATTTAAGAGCAGCAAACAAGCTCATCAAGGAAATGGTTCAAGAAGTGAGTGGCTGAGGTCACAGAGTGCAGTATGCTACTTCCATTGTATATGTTAACAATGAAATGACTGTCCACCTTCCCTTTCATATCTTGATGTCAATAATTAATAAGTTAGAATTATTGTGGCTTTAAAATTATTCTTTTAATTTAACATAAATAGAATCATGTCATGATTAGAATTATATATTTCTTAAACTAACTGGGAAATAAAACCAAAAGATTAGATAAAAATGATAATAAAATAATGCTAAAAGAGTTCAAACCAAAGCTACAGCTAAAGCTATGGTTTTATTTATCCTCAATGACCGCTCGAGGCAGAATATCAACAGAGTCCTGAGGTATCAAAAAATAAAAGACAGCTCTCTGAGATGGTGAAGTGAGCTGCTAAGAGATTTCCTTATAATGATCCAGGGAGGTAATGTTCACACTTTATAACTTCATAAAAGTATCAGGAGAGGACCAGGAGGTCTCCAAAGGTACTCCATGCATTATCCCTTAAAGGGATAGTTCGGTGTTTTTGACATGAATCTGTATGGCATCCCCATCACCAGTGTCATGCAATCACACTGACTTACCCCTGGCAGCGTCCTGTGAGCAGAGTTCTCGTCCAGTTTTGGTCAAGCCGAAAGTAGTCCGGCAGGTTTGCTAGAGCCAGCGAAATAAAACGTTTCTCTTCCCAAAACATTATGTGTTCAAAAGAGTGATATTTTTGCATCCCAAAAACGTTGTAGTGGAAAAAGTCACACGTCGTTATCACTTGGTCCTATTTTCTCTCTGTTCGTATCAGTGCGCGCCGTCATTCAGACAGCGAGCTCAACAACAGCCAGATGCATGTCTCCCTCCGCCTAGCTCCTAGCTGGGCGGAGGGAGACATGCATCTGGCTGTTGTCAGGTTAGTAGGCCCTAGCTGTCTGAATGACGGCACGCACTGATACGAACAGAGAGAAAATAGGACCAAGTGATAACGACGTGTGACTTTTTCCACTACAACGTTTTTGGGATGCAAAAATATCACTCTTTTGAACACATAATGTTTTGGGAAGAGAAACGTTTTATTTCGCTGGGTCTAGCAAACCTGCCGGACTACTTTCGGCTTGACCAAAACTGGACGAGAACTCTGCTCACAGGACGCTGCCAGTGGTAAGTCAGTGTGATTGCATGACACTGGTGATGGGGATGCCATACAGATTCATGTCAAAAATACCGAACTATCCCTCCCTTAAGAAGCACTGGGGTCCCAAGTGGAATGACTCTGCCCTGAAGGTGGCTGAAGGCCCTGCAGAAGATCACGTCCAGCGATTAGCAGGAAAGGTGCTGCTTTTAAAGGGCGTGTCCTTCAGAGACTGGCATAGCACATAAACAGACATTAAGTCTCCAGTTCCCGAACAGGGCTCAGGGGTTGAAAAGCTCCTCCAAGGTTAGCAAGCTGCAGGGTGGAACAATATAAGGAAATCTTTGGGAGAAACCACGCTCTAGGTCATATGGTAAAACCTGAGCCATCAAGGTTGATGAATATTTCCTGAGAGGTAGGTTGGCTAGAAGGAATGTGGTCTTTTCAAACAGGGACCAAAGATATGCCTGATCTAAGGGTTCAAAAGGAAATGACAGCAGGGCAATAAAAACTACAGTAAGATCCCACAGAATCACAACAGGCCGACTGGGAGGATGCTACCATCAGGCCTCCCTATGACACCATCCACTATCTCTTGCTGGCAAGATATGGGGCCAACATACACCTTAAAGGCATGAAATAGGGTTCTGTGGGGGAAGATATGTCCAACGGCTGTATTTTTGAATTGTGCGCATGCGTCTGTGCCCCCTTCTTCGCAAAAGTTCTCTAAGCTGGAAAGGCCTCCACCGGTGTTATGCCGCAGAATAACTGCCTGCCGAGAATTTCCTCCTCTCTCACATACTGACAAAACATTAGGAATATGTTTAAAAGTTTCCTTTTCGTTCATATTTCAGTCCGTTTTCTCATCAGTGTGCAAAAGAGCGAACAAATAGTTAAAAAAAGCTGCAGCAGCAAACAAGCGTATGAGTACTTGTGCTTTGGCGTAATGGCGGACCGCTGGTCAAACAGCGAATGAGTTATGCTTGGAGCCTACGTACAAACGGAATGGCGGTATGTTGGCAAAATGTTTGACAAACAAGTCGCCAATCCACTTTCAACAGTAGGCAAAGTGGATTGGCTAATGTTCTGGTAGGTCCCACTATGGCCAGAGTTTATGGATTAAAATTTGTTTTCTAGAGGGAACCTTAAGTCCAAGAATGCCATCAATCAATTAAGTCATTTAAGATTAATCTAGACATTTAATTTCTGAGAAAAATCCTTTTTAATACCTTTAAGCATAGATGGAGCCGACCCAGTTCAGGAAGCTGTTGGCACATCTGATACAGGGCAACACGCAGCATCAATGGACCAGCTGTTTAAAACCTTCCACTGCAGACATGTCATTGGAGACCAATTAAGATGATTTCTACACCTTTTATTTTTCCCCAGGATCAAAAGCGAGTGGAGAAAGTTTCCAAACGAGTGAATGCCATTCAGGAAGTAAAGGAGAGTGTGAGCCTGCTGAGCCAGCTGCTGGAGGGCTACTGCAAAGAGAGCTGCTCCAACAGCAACCAGGAGCTCATTAAGGTTTGTAAAGCTCTCTCATTTACAAGCTCATTTTTACCTCATCAACATCCTCAGGGTTCGGTTTTTTACAAAGGAACTATGATTGTTTAGCATTTTTTACATGTTTTCTCTCATAGTTCATGACTGCAGTGGTAGTTGTGTTTATTATTTGTCTGAAATTCCAGTTCCTACTTCATTCGGTTGCTCAGAATGCACAAATTAAACTTTAACAGGGGATATGTTTTCTTCCTCTGCAAACCTATCTTAGAGCACCATTAACATTTCACATAAACCAGACCCAGCCACACGTGATGACATTTACTGGTTTATCAGAACAGCCTTTAACCCAGGGAGGAGGGTCAGAAATGGAGCAATGATAAGGGAAACCTTGTTTTGCTGTGATTGTTTTACATTCCTTTATTTTTTTATTAAATTTTATGTAGTGGGGTTTTGCATGTAGTTTTTTGAAGTACATTCTTCACTATCAACAGAGACACACAGACACAGGAGCTGCATTTGGTGATGATAAAACTCCCGCTGGAGTGGACTTTAAACTATCTTTCTCTAAATCTGTTAAGTGTTAAACAGAATCTGTTTTCCTTTTGACACCATTTCAGTGGCAAAAAATGAAATGTTTAATATTACTCGATCTGTGGCAAAAAAGGCTGGATTAGAATGAGAGTCTATCTTCCAAACCCAGTGAAGCGTTATAGAGATGAGTGCAGCAAAGGGCGGTGTCTTTGGGTCATCAGGTGTCCATGACAGCTATTAGATGCTATCTACCTGCTAACTAGTTGCTGTAGGCAAATTTCAGGAGTAACCTTTGTCTGTCCTACTGTCCTAAATGCAAAAGGGAAATTTTCTGAACTCTCCCGAGACTTTGGGTATCAACATTTGTTTAGATGAAACTAAAGTGGAGATTTTTGCATAAAACCAGAAGCTGAGTGTGTTTAAAAAGAAAAAAAAAAAACTTTCCTAATGTCCTCTGTGAGGTGCAGTGGATCTAGTTGGCCAGTTTCTTTTGAAAAAAACTCTTTGAATCTTGGTCACATCCAAGGAGTCAAAGAACTTCTAAATGCCAGAACATCTAAAATAAAAATCAGATGGGCTCTGTCAGTAAAGTGAAAACAAAGTTGTTTTTCATTACAGGATCTGTATCAGCGTTGTGAAAAGATGAGGCCTACCTTATTCAGGTTAGCAAGCGATACAGAAGACAACGATGAAGCTCTGGGTAAGTTTGGGATTAAACTCTAGCATTGGAGTGCTACTCTAATGTTGCTAACATGCTAAAACCTTGCAGCGGATATCTTGGAGGCTAATGACAGCCTGACGCAAGTCATCAATCTGTACAGGCAACTGATAAAGGGTGAGGAGGTGTCAAACGACGGAGCAGGCCTGCCCTCACAAGGTGCCTTCTTTTCTTTTAATTCATGTGCAACTCTGTCTCTTTTAGTTCAATATAACTATTTTCTTTTTCTACAGCCTCAAAATCGGGCGGCAGCAGCTCAGCACTAGTAGACCTGACAGGTCTTAATATTTTAGAAAAGACAGAACCTTCCAAATCTCTGCCTGGAGCTGAGAACCTGGGCCTGAGCCTCTTGGATGATGAATTAATGTCTCTGGGTATAAAAGAACCCTTTAACTTGCTACATACATTTGTTTTTTATAATGTATTCCTCTAATATTTATAATCTACCCCTAAATAAAACCATTTTTTTCTTCCGTCTTAGGATTGAATGTATCAGAAAACTGTGACTCTACCATTGTCCTTCAGGTGGGAAATAATACCCTAGTAAAAATAGTTTTATTAAAGCTTACATTTCTACTCTTTATCAACATCAAGCTGTTCCTGATTCAGTAAATAAGTTGTTAAAAATTTGCAATCTGTCACCTCATTACATCAAACTCCTTGTATGTCGGCAGTCCTTAAATGTTGCAGAACCTCCAGCTGTAACGATGCAGCCAGCTGTGGTCCAAACGTCAAAAGCTCCACCAGCAGGGGGCAGTACTGCTGCACCAAAAGCGATGGAAGAGCTGGATTTACTGGGAAAGACACTGTTACAGCAATCTCTACCTCCAGAAAGCCAGCAGGTGAAATGGTGAGTTTGAGAAGCATGAATGTTTAGTCTTAAAGTTTTTAGGGTTCCTGCACTCATTAATGATATACTGTAATATTCTTTCTTTTTTTTTTTTGGCTGCTTGCATTTGTTGAGTCTGAACCTTTTTCACAAAGCCTGTAAACTCAGTGTGTACCTTAATATTGGGACTTTAGAAAATATATAAGTTTGTATGAAAAGTGTCTTTGTAACCCTGTGTGTGTTCGTTATAGAGTGAGCCACTGCTGCAAATTTGTTTAACCCTTAAAAAAAGAAGCAAAGTGCAAAGAATCTTTCCCTTCTTTTCACTGCAGGGATAAACTCCAGCCTCACTCCAAGGTCCCTTTACGAGATCTCCAAGCAAAGTCTGGGGTCAGCTGTAGGCCTGCTCCCGCTGTCGGGCCGACCTCCGGCCTCCTTGTCCCCACAGAGCAGCCGGATGTCGTCCTCTTTTCCAGTGCTGGCATTTCAGAAAAAAGCTCATCAGCTGCTGACCCTTATGACAGCATCTCATTAGCAGATGTTACAGTGCCTCTGGAGTCAATCAAACCCAGTAAGCTAAAACCACAACCTACAGTGACTTTTAAAGTAGTTGTTCTTCATGATAGACATTTTTATGTTTATATAATTCAAAAAATATAATTAAACTTTTTTTTTGTCAGGATTTTCCCTTTAAAATGTGTTTCTTATTGTAAAAAAAGACAGATCTTATGGAACATTTCATTCTATTTAAAGCTACTAACAGACTTCCAGTGAAATCAATCAGACAAAAGTCTCAAACTTAGACCTGGTTGACACAAAGAGGAACATGGAATATTTTGTTTAACAGCTCAGAGAAAAAGTTGCGTTTACACAAATATACGACGCGAAGGAAGACGCTGTAGTACATATGCCAGGTCATTTGGTGGCGCTGTGACTGCCACAGAATCCCACCCAAACTAATGAAAAAATCACGGGGCCTGTGCAGACAGCTCATTAGAGGTAAGCAACCATAGAATAAAGATGACATGGTTTAGATAGATGTGGTTTGATGTCTACATAACATATAGCTGGGGTTTCTTTTAGATTTCCTCTAAAAGCTTTGGATATATTGCTCTCATATCGTTTTACCACAGCTGTGTCATAGCTCAATCTAGAAACTATTAAAGTCTGATGCTGATCTGGATTTAGGGTTGTTTTTTTTTTTTAAGAATTTCCTTACATTGCGAGATAGGGAAAGGATTTTCTAAATGTGGGGTGCACCTCCCCCTAGGGGGCGCCAGAGCTCCACAAAAGTAACTATAAACACTATATTGTGAAAACAAACTCCCTCCACCTCTCCAAAGAACCACTACAGATACGCCCTGCTCATCCTGTTTGAAGAAGATAATATAATTTTATTTTTCCTCTATTACTCTACAATGATTTTGGTAGCATTGTGTTCTTGGTAAGACTGAAAAAAGATGCAGACTGATGGCTGTGAAATTTTTACTACAGGTGGATCTTAACCCAATTTAGAGCCTGTTAAATTTTTGCCAGTGATCCTAATCACTCATTGATGTGTTTAAAGTAGTTGTGTGTGTGAAAACACTGCAAGGACTTCAGGAACAGTTGGTAGCTATCTAGCAGATGGAAGATGCTAATGAAGAGGACCAGCTCAGACAGGGAGGGGAATTAGATTCATAGCAGTCAAGCTCCCAGTTTGCTCCTCTCTGAGGCAGGGTCCATCATGGCTTAAAGCTTTTTAGAGTCTGATTGGAACTTAGGTTCTTCAAAATACTCTGTAAATGTAACATTAGTCTTCTTTTGATGTTTGTAACCAGGTAAAAGCCTTTTACTACATTATTTTCTGCTTTTTTATATCATTTCTGTATTTTTTTTTTACTACAGGTAGCGTTTTACCAGTGACTGTATTTGACAAACACAGTCTCCGGGTTTTGTTCACGTTTGCACGGGACTCTCCTCCATCGAGGCCGGATGTGTTGGTTGTGATCATTTCTATGCTGTCCTCGGCACCCATTCCCGTCACCAACATCCGTTTCCAGGCAGCCGTTCCCAGAGTACGTGTAGGAATGGGGGATGATATCTTAATTCCTTCATAATTTTTTTGATTCAAATAATGTGTAGCGAAGGGTTCCTCTTTTGTGATAATCCTCAGGGAAATCTAAAGAAACCTGGTATTAAACAGGATAAAGGCCTGATTGTGTATTTCTGCTAATAATGGGAATATTTTGACCATTTATTCTAACTTATCAACTTGGATTTATCAGTGGATTTATGTTTCCTAGGTGATGAAGGTAAAGCTGCAGCCTCCTTCCGGTACTGACCTGCCAGCCTTCAACCCCATCCTCCCTCCAGCCGCTGTCACACAGATTCTGCTGTTGGCCAACCCTAATAAGGTGCCCACACCCACCCTCAGAGATCATCTGCTGCTGTGCTGTAGGTGTTTACAGCAGGATGGGATTAAAACCGGTGTCACCTATCCTTTATGATTCTCTTTCAGGAAAAAGTGCGTCTGCGCTACAAACTGACGTTCAACTTGGGGGACAAATCTCACGATGAATCCGGAGACGTGGACGAGTTCCCTCCTCCAGACACTTGGGGCAATCTTTAGACAGAAAGAGTGAACAGGGGAGGGGCTCCAGTCATTAGATTTGCACCATCCTTTATATTTAGGTCGAGTCTTTCCTTCTGAAGAGGAAATAGACCAGATTACAATTAAGTGGTTTCAGACTCTGCTTTGACCAGAACTGATGGATGTAAGATCAGTTTGTTGAAACCCGCTGACCCTTGTGCCTTCTTATCCTTGTTTGATCCTGTCAGTGTTTATGAAAAGAGTTGGTACATCCTCTGATAATTAGTCCATTAAGACCATTTACTTCTGAATGTGAGCTGGTTTTATTAACGTATCATGAAGTAATCCCCAACGTCATGTGAATTATGATGTCAGACATCAGTGCGAGGCATCGTTGTACAACATGCAGTACAATCAGCTCCTAAGTCAAATATCTCAAACAATAATCTGGGTCTGATTCACTTAAAATCATGAAATTTGTTTCCCCCAACTTATCAAAAATTAAGTGACATTACTTTCACTGTTAGACTGAAAAAGCAGCATGAAAATCCACCGCCATATCTGAAGCCACCGGAGTGGTTTTCATTTTCATTAAACCCTTTAGAGTAGGAGGATCTGATGTGAAGAGCTGGAACCAAAGCATGCAAGATACAAACATGCTAATCTGATGTCTTTCTGTAGGGATATAAAAATATTTTCCTGCAGCTAACTTTCATTAAAACAGATCCAGACAAATATAATCCATTAACAGTAGCCCCCTCTATTTTGTCCTGTAATTAAAAGGTGCTTATTAGTCTTCATCTGTTTAAAAACAAACAAAACTGTAACTTCTCTTTGTATTTCTTTTGTTTCACTCATTAAGTTTTTTCCTTATTTAAATTTGTACACATTTTGTTTATATTTTGCACACAAAATCATTCCTCTTTTTCCTCTGTTGTAACTTTTGTTTTTCTACTACTGATTAACCCAAAGAATGTCTTATAAAATTATGTGCACGTCATACTAAGTTTGATTCTGCCACATGTGCCTGAGGTTGTTTTTGATTTTGTTCCTGTAAAGTACATGTTTGAATCCATTATTTTCCCCCCATGTTTGTCTTTTCAGAAAAATACTTTGTAAAGTTAAGGTTCATCTTTTGTTAAATGGTCATTTGAGATGTTTGATGTGGGAGCAAACATTTATTAACTCCTCTGGGGTTACGGAAGCCTACAATAAAAAGGTTGAAGAAAAATTATCAAAATATTGGAGATACAGAAGAGGAAAAAAAATTTGAAATTCCTGTTATTTACACATATTTAAAGTATTTTAATTCAATGTAGTAAAATGCAACCTAAATCCATTATTTTTATTTAAATGGAAAAGAAAGCCTTGCTGCAATTGTAGCTACCTTTTGAAATCCCTTCAAAATAATGTAAACTGAGCAGTATATTAATCTATACTTTTGTAAATTGATCCAAGTTTCTTGAAACCAATGCGTATCAATCCACAAACCTCATGAGATGCTCAGTACTTCTAGCCACCGAACAAGCTGAATGGTTTTATATTTACGATGCCAACGCACGCAGTGATGACAGAAACTTCAGCAGGGGTTACTGGGTCATTCCAGTTTCAGATTACCATCAAAAACATAAATGTGTGGGTTGGTTGGTGTCATGCTGCGGGCCTGCCTCTACAACCTGTGAAATAAAGTATAAATGAGACCTAAATACAAAAAAATATAAATGTACCACATCAGTTTGCTGCTAAGCGTTTAGTGCAGCTAATGCCACTGGATGAAGTGATTTAAAGCATCAGCATCTTGAGGGCAGAAGATTAGTATGCTTTTATAACTGATATATGTCAAAGGATTGTTGTGATGCCATGGGGGTTTTATAGTTTCTCTAGAATTGGGAGAGGCCAGTTGAGTTGTTTTATTTTTTCATTCAAAGATCAAGTTAAATCGTGGACTTTTTAGATAATTATGGGAATCTCCATAAACAAAACCTTCTAAAATTAAAAAGGGAAAATGTTTCTAGACTGGAAATAAAAAAAACATCTTACTATTGCTGCAACCAAAGTACTTTACGTGTGAAAGAGATCAAATAATTGACTTATTTTAGAAAAATTCACAAAACAAGACAAATTTTTATTTCTTTTATTTAAGAAAAACACTGTATAAAGATAATGGATAATGGACAGAAAAAAAAGCAAATAATTTTTAGTTAAAGTTGATTGAAACGCTACTTGACTTCTGAGTCTACACAAAGGGAAAATAAAGCATGCATGTATCTAACTAATGCAATAGTTAAAGGTCGTTACTGAAATAAGTGATAAGGACATAAAAGCAAAGATCAAGGAGGTGTTCGGAATGTGACTGCATCCTCGAACTGCATTAAATCAGTTCCTTTCTTCTAATCTAAGCTTTACTGGAATAACTAAGTTTGGCTAGAAATGGGAAAAAAAAAAAAACCTTATTCCTCCACCACAATACCTGGTTGCTTTTCACTGGCTACTTCAAATTTTAAACATAAAAGCCCTAACCTCCTTGGATATACAATAACACTGCTTACACAACAGTAAAAACAGAGATACAAACACATGGTTGAACAAGTTCCCTCGGTACGTCCACTTTAACTATTTTCGAGGGGGTTGCTGGCCAGGGGGAGGAGGGGGAGCAGAGGGAAAAGGAGGGTATGGCGGCTGCCCCATAAAGCCCATGAGTGGCGGCTGTGGAGGCGGGGGAAACTGCTGCGCCATCAGTGGCTGTGGGGCCCCCGATGGAGGCGGAGGAGGAGGGCCCTGGACGAACTGGCCCTGTGGCTGGTTGGGTATATCCTGACCGCCGCCGGGCAGGCCTCCTCCGCCACGAGAGTTGTAGCCCCCACCGTTGTTGTTGTAGTTCTGGTACTGATCGGAGCCGGAGTTGTAGTTGTTCCTGTGATCTCGGTTTCTGTCTCTGTAGGAGGACGCTGAGGATTGGTCGTCGTCGCGGTTGTTGCGGCCATCGCGGTTAAAGCCCCCGCGGCTATCTTTGCCGCCTCCACCAGAGCGCATGCGCCGATCACACTCGTCTTGGTACATTAGGTTAGGGTTGTTGGAGCTGCCGCCACGGTAACGCATTCTGCCACCTGAATGTGAAAAAACAAAACAAAATAAAATTATGATTTGGTGCTTAAATTAACATTTACCAATGAGGCTTTTTGCAGTAATAAAATGTATTAGTGACTACACTTAGAGGCAGAGACTGGAGGAAGGGAGTCAGTTATTTAGACAGAACTAATCCAGCTAATGAGCTTTTTTTTGGTTGCTCTTTTTTGGTTGCCCCCTCCAACCAGAAAAGAAAAATTTAAACTCACAACTTAAGTCAAAATATATATTGTTTCTTATTAATGTAGAATTCAAATCAAACAATCAGATGTGTAAACACACTTCTTACTGGCACAGTAAATAAAAAGAAAACAGGTCCTCCTACCGCCTCCACCTCCACGGCCCGAGTCCACGAGTTGAAGCAGTTTTGGATTTATGGCCTGCCGGGCTTCCTCCAGAACCCGGACCAGGTCTCTGGCCTGTCGCAGGTTTCCTGGGGTGAAGAAGGTGTAGGCTGTGCCCTTATTGGTACTGCGGGCCGTACGGCCAATACGGTGGACATAATCCTCAGAGGAGCTGGGATAGTCATAGTTGATGACGAATTTTACATCTTCCACATCTTTGGGATAGACACCACAATATATTAGTATTTTAACAACTCAAAAAAAGGGGAAATAGCCTTTTAGTTGACAGGAAGTGATGCGTTTAACTCAACTTTAATACAGCCAAGGGCTTTATGCATAAGAACGACTGCAATGGTATGAATGCAATGCGATTTCAGCTTCAAGTAGAAAGATTTGGACAAATGAGAGCCACTTACCTGCTTTATCAGACACTGAGCAACAATCCACAGATTCATTTCAGCAAAACATTTTCACTATTCAGCATAGTGTGCTCACTTGATTTACAATGAGCATAGAGATGTAAAGAAGTAGTTTTAGACCTCTGTGGTTTTCAGAGGAATCACTGTTAGCGGCAAAAATGTGGAAGGTAAAAAAGTCTGTTTCTCATTACAGAAGACGTGGGGCTCTGACAGCACTGCTGATCTATTAGTCTCCCATCTCCCCTCCATCACGAGAGGGAAGCCATTTGAGCATCTATTACACAGCAATGATAGTGTTTTACTTCTTTAAATACAGGCACAAAGGCAGAACCTGACTGTAGGGTGAGCTCGTGAAGAGTTAGGATAAAGGGGTGTTGCGGTACTTACCCCCTGCAAGTTGTTTTTACAAAGGTTGTCAGTTCCCCCTGATCAGTCCTGGTTCAAAGGGAAGGGCTGAGGGAGAGGGAGACTGGATTCCTCCCTCACCTTCTGCTCACTCCAGCAACGTCAGACGGGAGCAGAACCGTTAAACCCCAAAGGACACCCCCACGCACACCCAAAGGCTGGTTCTGTTGCTCTCTCGTCGCATTGCGGGAACCCTCCTCAGACCTTGGCCAGGACTGGATCCAGACGAGCCCGTCTAATTCTCTCTCCCCTGTCTGTCTGCTTTTTGGAGCGACGGGCAGACATACAGGAACCTCAGGATGCTCCCAAGGAAGGCTCGTCGGATTTGCAAACTGACATTAATGGAAGTGGGGGGAGGGGCCTCTCTCTTTTTTCTTTTTTTTAACTCAGGAGAGTACTAGGGGGCTTTGATCCCACTAAAGCTCACAAAGTTTTTTATAATGTGACTGAGGGGGGCAGAGACAGCAGCACAGACTGTTACAGCTGCCGTATGCTGCCAAACCCTGAGAGGAGAAGAGGGGAGAAGAAAACAAGAATAAAGTCATCGAAATTTGGCAACGTTACAAAACTTAACTTATCCCCCCTTCTCAGAATATCAACCTGTTTTCTCTTTCCTACGTTTTAAAAACTTCTCTAAGCTCTGAACGTCCTGCACATACAACTCTCCTGAAGTGAACACTGAAAACTATTGAAGCAGAGAAGATGTGAAACATAAGCAGCATCCAATAGTTTATACTGACAACACATTAGGAGACATAAGAAAAGGTGCGCAGGGAGTTGTGGCCCACACACCCCTCCTTTCAGGCAGCGTGCCAAAGAGCCCCGCATGAAGGAAGCTTGGTAACTGCGGTAACAAGAAACAGACTATGAACCTGCTTGGTCGAAAGGCTTGAAGCCTGCAGCACTGCGTGCATCAGCCTATAGAACACTACCAGGTTAAATATGTGCTAATTCATTCATATTTGGACTCATTCTGCTTTTATCTTATGTTCATTTCATATACCTGGCTGACAGCTGGATGTTCACTTGTACAATTTCGGAAAGAAAAGAAAAACTCCAGGCACTGACATTATACCTTACAGATAGATTAAAATATGGTTTTAGGACAGAAATGACTTCCCATGCCTGCTTGGCTTACAAGAGTCCTTTTACGAGCTGATACTTACCACCTGCTTAACTCAAATCAGTGCATTAACTTTCTTTAGGGTTGACTAATACACATGTTATACATTATCATTTGAAGAACAAATTAAATGAGAGAGACAGACACTCAGAACTGCGATCCAAAGAGGTAAACAATGTGTTCACAGACATACCCAGACCCCGAGAGGCAACATCAGTTGCAATCAGGATGGGGGCCTTGCCGCTCCTGAACTCTGCAGAGGGAAATAAAATGAAAATATGTCAACTGAGAGAATAAAAAAAACCCCAAAAAAACAGTAAAAGCATCAACTAAATAGAAGTGAGGAAACATCTCCATTAAAGAATACGTTCAACGGTTTATTGTGGTTGGAGTTGGGCGGTACAGACTATGAAGGATTGAGACTTTTTATCGTTAAGTAAGAATGAATGAATACTTTATAACAGGTCAACCATTTGTGAACTTGGGATGTTTGGTTTTTCTGCTACTAACTGATAAGCACTAAAGCAGGGGTGCCCAAGTCCAGTCCTCAAGAGCTACCATCCTGTAACTTTTATATGCATCTCTTCTCTAGCATACCTGAATCTAAAGCCTCAATCCCCCCATTTAGCTCATCAGAGGCATGGTAACGATCCACTCATTTGATTCAGGTGTGTTAAAAATGGTTGCATTAAATACTTGCAGGATAGTAGCTCTTGAGGACTGGACTTGAGCACCCCTGCACTAAAGGATGATGCTGCTCAGATACAAAGGACTCATGTAAAAACTAATTTATATTGAGAGTTCATCCATTTTCTCATGTCCATAGAATACCT